CTTGTATATTATATTTATTTTTGTATCTAGAGCACGAAATGCTACTTTGGTGATCAAGATCTGATTTTTTAATTGAGGCGTAGCCGAGTTTAAAAAATAGTCGAGACGACCAAATTATTTCGCGCTCGAGTTGCAACAACATTTTTCTAAAGTAAAAATATGCTCAGCTTGATTCAAAAAATAGTGTTGATCTGGCTTAAAAGGCCTTTCCCTATCCTCCCTAGGTACGCACGAACATAATAGGAATTCCCTTCCGTGCGTTCCAAGAGATAAAACGAAGTTATTGTTGAAGATTCAGGAATAAATGATTCGTGGATGTTTGCTCGATTGGGGACCATAAAGTTGAAATATAAATATCTCATAAATTTTACATAACAATGCGCGTAGGTACCTACTTCGCGCACTGGTTCACTTCTCGCATTGTTTTGTGCAAGGTATCATTGGAACGTAGGAATCTGAAAGAAGTCTCACTTCGCAATTTGTTATCAATGAGCGAACCTTGTCAGTTTTTGACTTTTGTAGAAATAATAACATTGTCTGCTCAATATGGAGAAAAACTCTACATATAGTGATACTCCAGCTCACTAGATTTTTTCTGCATATTCAGCAGACAATGATAAATAATTATTTCCTACAAACGTCAAAAAATGATAAGGTTAAGGATAACAAATTGCGAAGTGGCACTTTTTTGGTACCATTGTATGTAAATTGAAAAGTATATGATATGTTTATATTTCAACTTCATGGTCCTCAGTCTAGCGAACATCTTAGAAATAATGAATTTCTAAATGTTTAGCAATGATTTTTTTTTATCTCTTGGACCGCACGAAAATAAATTCCTATATAATGTTCGTGGAATATCGTGCGTACCTAGGGAGGATAGGGAGATGCCTATTCAGTCAGTTCAACAAAATTTTGTATGTTAAGCTGGGCATATTACTACTTCAGAACAATATATTTTGACGTTTGTAGAAAAAAAATCATTGGCAACTCGTGCGCGAAATACTTTCTAGAATATTTTGAAAACAAATCAGTTTTCGATCACCAAAGTCGCATTTCGCGCACTAGATACAAAAATAACTATTGTCAAACGAATATACCTCCAATTCACTATCTGATTACTCGACCACAAATAATGAAAACTAGCCAATATAATAATATGGTTTATTCTCAAAAAAAGTTACCAGGTAGGTGAAAAAATCCTACCTTTTCAACAAAAGTGTAAAAACATTTATATTATGTGAAAACAATTACGAAACATATTGTGAAAACAGAAACAATAACATACCTAATATATATATATATACATATATATATATAACATTACAATTTCAATGTTGGGTTAAATAGAATAATGAGCAGTATCCCAGGCAACTAGATGACATTTCATTGCATTTTCCACGTCAGTAGTTGATCAAGATCATTGTGTTTACATCAAAGGACGTGAAAAATTATGTGAATGAGTCCCATATCTATAACGTCCTATTATCGTCCTTTCAGCTACGCTATCGAGTTAGTTCGTATCTCCGTCAGAGTTTGGCGAGACGTGAACTGTCCGAAATCATAGTATAACAGCAATGCAATATTGGCATATGTAATTCTACTCTGTTGATGATTGTAGATTCATGTATTTCTTATCACTCAAAAAAAAAGTCAAATAGCATATAACTGACAAATTATCTGACACCAGTGACACCACAGAAATGATAGGTATGTCACACCGACGTGATCATCATATTTAATCGATGTATCACTTTAAGGTCACATGTAACTTTCTCAATACTCATATGAATGACGTGTATGAACGAAGTTGTGTTGATGTCGTGATTATCACGTCATAAAAACGGAATCTCAGTAACGTCACTTTTTATTGAAGTGAATAAGTAACTGAACAAGTACCACAAAATTAGTACTTCATATGGTTGCCTGGGATATTGTGACATTCATACATGTATATATGCAAGACATTCAATTTTGAGTAGAAATAGTATATTGTTTAACGAGCACGAAATGATAATGATTTCTCACGTCTCATGCTGCAATCATTCGAGTAAGAAATTAGCATTCCGTACGAGTTACACACTATAATTTTTCTACGGCTGTATCAGATAACAGCGGCATTTTTGATTTCTTCGTCTTGTAGGCATCTGATTTACTCTAAAGTAATGCTCATCTAATAGACAGAACTGTCATTGCTTGAAATTTGACATTCCATGAGCGATGGGATTTTTTTGAAATATCAACACAATGGAGTAATTGTGATATCAGATACGAAAATAAAATTGATGACATACAAAGTACCCCATTGATGTATCGATAAAGTATATTTTCCTACTGCTTCAACACAAAGTTGCTCTCGTTTAACTGTTTTAGATAAATCTTCGAGATTGGTATATATTGATGTATGTCTTCAATTTCATCTCCTAATCTGATGACGAAATATGACTTCATTGTGTTATTATTTCACAATGAATGTCATTCATCATGACATATCAAACTTCAAGTAATGACAGAGCTCTGTCTAATGCTGGATACAGATGACAACTTTTTGCATTTCAGCCTTATAGCGCTTCGGATTCTGATTGATCACAATCGATACTAGCTCGTAATGACAAAAAGTTCGTTTCGAGGTCAATAAGCGAATACATTTTTTCCTTCTTTTGTATAGCGCTACTTCCAAGTTGGGAATCAACTCTTCAGAAGTCGGAACCAACTATTCAGAAGCAGTATAACCCTGGAGCAGTGAATGTGAACAGTCCGTGCTCTATTATTCATCTTTCCGCTGTAAGTTATAAGCTGCCAGTCGGTACCCATCATAATAGAGCATATCAGATGACTACAGGCCGAAGAAGAATGAAATTTTGCTATTATCTGTGACAGCCGTTGGAAAAGTATAGGGTAAAACAAAATGCTAATTTTCCACTTGTATGATGGGCAGCATTCGCCTACAGCTCATATGCTGCAAACTCCATTCTTGTGGGAATGACTATATCGTTCCGTGCGAAGAAGAATAAATGCGACAATTCGTGTAGGGTTAACAAGTCCTAAGGTACCAACTTCTTTAACTCTTGAAAATAAGCAATTTCGCGGAAGAATATTGCTTGTCCCTTATTGAAAAAGATAATATATTCGTACTGAAGGTATTTCAGGTGGTGAGTATCTCTCATACAACGGAAAAATACATGAAATGTTAATGAGGTTGGAACTTCATGACGCGTCACCAGTTACAGTATACCTATACTAGAAATGTGGTATGTGTTATAATGAACTAAGAAAAATCTATAGCACAATAAAAAGGATTGTTTGATGTAATGTGATTAACTCTCTTATATTCAATGTTCCTCAATATTATTACCAACGACCATCAAACATCAACTTTCAGAAAGTTGATGTTCGATGCTACAATCAAATCCCAGTGCGATCATCACAGAATTATAGGTACAAGTTCATATAGTTTCCAGCTGTAACATTTTTTATGTCAAGAAAATGAACTGATTTGTCAAAAACATCATAAATTCCAACATTTCTTGGCAGACAAACAAAAATTTCTGTGGAATAAGAAAACTATCTGTCGTGTCGAATTGTTTTCAGGCATATATGAACCATGCCAAGACACTATCCGTATGCCTACTTTGATACCCATATAATTAAATTTTTGTTTTCTTCATTTTACAATATTTCTGAGAATACAATTTTTGATTTTTTTTTGGATCTCTACAGGTTCACTTATATAGCCCGGATTCATATTTTCATATTTAAAAATTGTTTTCAATCGATGGTTTGGGCATATATTATACATATAAACAATTCTCTAGAAATCAATTGAATTATATCGAGAAGGTAATTTGTTTCACGTTACGCTAGACTTGCAACCTTTATGAGTTGATGTTTAGTTCAGAATAAATACCATGAATAACGATTTTCCTTGTGGAAAATTATGTGAATAGAACATAAAGCTAACGTAATTTTTAAGAATTCAGTATTTTTATAATCAATATAATTCCTGTGTGACAGTCAAAAATATATAAAAATTGGTGATTAAATCCTCGTTTTACTGTACCAGCCTTGAGAGTTTCATCATAAATCATGTTTCATAACTTCATCATTTCACAAGTATACCTCCGCAAACTGAAATACCAGATTGGACACAAAAAAACAATTATTGTACATATTGTGATATTTTCTTCTCAACCAATAATAATACCAAGGAGGTCGTATACGACCTTATGGAGATAGGGAATAAAATAAAGGACACATTTTATTAATGCTATCGAAGATATTGACTTTCATGCTTTCCAATAAGACTTGCGTCTAGGGAGAAGGCGTCACAAATAAGAATGCATATGGCGGTGAATTCGAATTGGTAAGCAAGTCTACAGACAATATACCAAAAGAGTGCTTGAATGATTGCGAATCACTATCGGCTTCAACCATTGATGCCTCCACAGTATTTTTCGAATAAATCATCCCGACAGAATGGAAGAAAAGTATTGAATCATGATGTGTATGATAGGCCATTGTATTTCAGGCAAAAATATGTAGAAAACAGATTCATACGAAAGCATACTGATGGTCACTATATGCAAACGCATATTTTGATTGGTTCTACTACCTAGACATTATTCCTCATCATATTTCCTTTGAGATGAATACACAAAACTGAAATATGAACTACTCAATCAAATGTAATATACATCTTTTGTATTTATCAGCGTAGAGTCTGATATATAATTATGTACGCTGGAGTTATCCCATTTCTTATAAGACTTATGTAAGAATGCGAATAATGCGAACTCTTTTCGCTGGACTTCGTCTGAAGGATATTACAGTGAAAAATAGGCATATTGCATCAGATTAGACATCATATAGATGTATTGGTACTCTCGAGAAAGTGTGGATATACTATTGAATCAATATTGGGGTTATGAATGTGATGTCTATAAATTAGACGACGAGTTGTGATGTATTGTCATGTACAGGGTTCATCATATCAACAGGTTCACTGAGATATAATGTGGCCAAATTCTGATTGATGCAACATTACTGTACCTACATCGATCATATTCATGAAAATAATTAATGTATTTCTCCTTGAGGAACTTGCATACAAGTTCTAATCAATCAAATTCAAAGTATGAGTAGGTATATATATATAAACCTGAATGATATGAAATTAATCTGAATAATATGGAAGTATGGTCATTGGTCAAGAATTTACTATATGTAGGTTACATATGGTTTTTGATCAAAAAGTGCTATCAGTTGTATCTTGGTGCAAAATTATGATCATAAGACTTCGAGATGAAAAGAACTCACGTATCTATATATATGTAGCTAAATGAAACCACACAAGCAACTAATGAATGAGTCATGAATTTAATTCTTGAAGATATTCTAGTGATCCACTATATTGAGTATTTATATCATGGAATTCCGTTAGTTTCGTGAACTACTATATCTATAGCTACGTTAAATCCCTTCAAATATATCTATTCAATCAGAGTAAATCATCCACAATATCCGAACCAAATGGTATACACACATTTTCCTTCCAGTTGCTATAACAATAGAAAAAGATAGGTAATTGTTACCTAGTTACTTATTATAGACTGATAGCAGAACATTGAGTTTGTTATACGGGAATAGTACATATGTCACAATAATATGACAATGAATAGTTTCACTAGCAAAATCTTCTTTGGTCACTGCCTGCATTCCTTGACTTCTCTTTGACCTAGTGGTAAAGTCGGTCTGAAGTTTTTCTTCACGAACCCTTTATATTCGTCACACGGACAATTATCTTCTCGGGAGTAGGATTTCATGGTTCTGAATGTCATCAGCTAGAATTCAGAAAAGCAATATTATGATTTCAGCATGTAGGTAGTACACATCAGAATGAGATAAAAAATTCAATTTTGATTGCAGAACTTGAAATAATGATGAATTATTTTTCGGAATTCCAACAACTTGTATAGGAAAAATTAACTGTTCACAAAAAATGTTTTTGAAACTTTTTTTCTCGTTTCAATAAGCACTTCCCATTGAAGTTATGCAGAAACAAACTAAAACACTCTGTAATTATATAAGTTATTGGTAGGGGATCTGAATACATTGCCGAATGAATAAGACAACGATTGACGATACGTCGAATTCTTGGTCAACACGCCGATACATGTTGGTAAACACGGCACTGTTGAAATAACTCAAAATAATGAATCAACTCAATGAACAGTCCCTGATTGTGGTCCAAACTCCAAACAATTCACAGAGAGTATAGTCGTAATGACACAGAGCACACAGAATACCTCTTTGGACTCCACACCAATCCTCCTGTCATATCGCAGATACAGCTCTTTGGGCATATCTCAGAAATTGACCACAATGCCTAGATAGCTTACCGGCCCACCCCTTTAAAATTCTCCCATGGATTCTTGGTCTGAGAGGAAATTCGAGATTCTGAATGAAAATGAGTCAGATTGCTCATTTGTTGATACTTATTCCTTCATTGAGATATACTCCTGATTCTCAACAGAACAACAGGAAAATCATTCCGTACACAGAAGTGAAAAATGTTTATAATCTGCTTCTCGGATTGTTTGCGAATGAAAGTTATCACCAAAAATCATTCTCGTTTCGATCACCATTCATGTAAAAAATATAAATGGATTGAACATTTTTACAATGTATTATATTGATTTTTGGTGGAATGATACTCGAGATACTCTCCACGACATTTCGATAAAATCAAACAATTGGTACATGTTTTGGACATATATATGTCCATCATCAGCCTGATCAAAATTACTGCATCAATTGTAGGGCATATATATATATATATATATATATATCAAAAAAAATTTACCAATTGATTCGATCGTTTAATCATCTTAAAATGTCGTGGAGAAGATTTCGACTAATATTTTGTAGATATATTATAATGAGTCCGTCAACAATAATTCATCATTGGCATATTCTCGATCATGTTTTGTGGAAAATTCACAACATGATAGCAACGATGAACATATCACCCATACTGATGCAGGCCAAAAACTGCTGAAAATATTAATTGTTTCAATCGTCAAAACGAAGTGATTTTTAGTTCAATCGTGATCGAATTCTGTTGTATGACGAGCAAACAATTGATATTCGCACCATTTTGTAGTGTTCTTTGAATGATTGGATTCCATTTTAATCTTCTTAAATCGGATAAGACGAAGATAAGGCTTGTGAAGATTTTTATAAGAATGTTAATCGTTTCTGAAATCACTAGACTTCATGGAATATGCACTATTATGACTATACTTATATAGGTACCCGAATTCAAGAAAAGATTATGTTGTGAAAAAAAAATTATTGGGATGAAGGCGGTCACAACTCGTGAGTACGGGAATGGGTAACCCAAGAGGTACCCTAACCCGAGGTACCCTTCTCGAATATTCATTATACTTCAACTTGTCTTGGGTGATATTCTTTTATCTTTCCCTTTTTCAATTCATCCTATCGTTCATCACCATGCCCCTCTTTGAGGTTGAATGCCTGGATTCAGATGCCGCCATGAACCTTATTGTGGTCTATAGTGGCTTCCCATCCCCTCCGTTCACCCTCACTCACTAACGAGTGGACTTCAACCTTATGCATTTAGCAATCTGCATATTCTTTGTAATAACCCCTGAATCCCATGGTTTCAGTCAACCAACTTTTCAACCTTTTTGTCGAAAACTATTGGGTTCCTAACCCAACCATCGGCCTTCCTTGGCCAAGTTCTCTTTTCCTCTTCGCCTGCAAGCCCAACCCCACCATTACAGACCGCGGCCGCTCGACAGAAGAAGAAGCATTTTGGGACTATCTTTGCTGTCTTACGCCAGATGGAACAATAATTTGTGGATATCTGTGGCAAAGTTGGAGCGATTTGCAGAAGGTGGCCGAAGACTGGTCAACGAGGCTCTGACAACCTTATCCAAGCTGGGGAAACTTGTGGCGATGGATGAATGGTACCAAGGTATGGTGTCGCTAACGAGGCCTCTGGGAAATAGTTCGACATCTGAGAATAAACAGCATTAGCCCTGTGCAGGAGGCACCACAGGGTTGGATCAACTCCCTTCCTCGTTACTCGTAGGAGAAGAAAAACTTTTGGGCTCCATCGTAGACGAGAAATGGGATCGGAAGAGTAATCTTCAAGAACCTGAACGGAAAGGGTCATTCATATCGAAGTGGCCCTTGACAAGCACCATGAGTCGTGTATGGTAAAATTGATAACGCTTTGTAGGTGAGATACAATGGGTTACTAGGGCCAAGTGTCGTCGGATACATCGTTCAGACGAGCCTACAAGCTGGATGGAGTATTTAGTGGGTGTATACCCACACTATCAAATGAGGGATCAGACCCAAATGATGTACATAAAGGAGTTCAACCACCACGGCGAAAAAAAGGGGGTACTAGAAAAAATATAATTCCTGGCGATCATGAACAACTATACCTAAAATCAGTTGATATATCAGATCATTGAAATTTCGAACTCTTGAAATTGTCCCTTGAAAAAATTACTTGTGAAACGTTTCTCCGAATTCATACATTCAGTAGAATATTGTGTGGCTGAGTTTAATGTATCAATAGTCGATATCAATGAACAGGGTATATCAATAATGAATGAAAAATCTGACTATTATTTCCAAAAGTCATTCTGCATTTCATGGTTTACCCTCAAATCAAGATGAGTACTGAAAAGCTGAAGAGAGGGAAATCTGATGATCTGTTTTGTGGTTATGACTGAACGATATAGATACAAAGTGTTCGTTTGGAATTTCGATCAATATTGGTGATATGGGCAATATGACCATGTTCAGAAATGTGTTTACCAATCTGTTTCGGCGTTTTGACGAAGAATGATTCGACGTAAAATCCATTCAGATCATCAAGAAATATACCTCCAAGTAGGATTCGTTGAGCAACTAAATTGCGTGACATATGCAGTGGTCCACCTGAATTTCCACCCAATTTCAAAATCAAATATTATAAAAAAATACTAATCCGACTCTGAAACGGTTTGTTCCATGTTGTGTAGAAATCGTTTGAGAATGAGATGGTTTGCTTAGTCTTCCCAATACGTTTGTGTTCTCAGATGAATATAAAATGAATATTTTCGAATTCATCCCTATCATACGGAAAATTTTGCGGATTTTTCACTAGGGCATATTATGATTGCTAGATGTGTTTTGCCGGAACGGTTTCGAGATTTTGTCATAAGCATACGTTTTTTGAAGTGTCCTGCTCAATTTCAGTTGATCTGCTTATGTAATGAGAGAATTCATTCATGGAACCGATTCAGGAAGGAAGTCATTACATTGATTCCGATATTCAGCGAATATCGATCTATACAGATCGAGATTCGAGATATCAAAGAATCGTAAAAATCAGTCGAGAATCATTTTTGGTCTCCTGATGGCAAGTTGATAGAATATTTTCTCAAATATTGAACTTATATTCAACTCCTTTCTGAAGGGATTAATGATGTTATATTTCCTGTCATCTCATACGAAGAATAATTTCGAACGAGAAAATTGTCATCGTATATGAAATAGGAAACTAAACTCATGGTTTTCTATTTTTTTGTGGAAACTCTTTATACCAACACGATGCTTGTGTATCTACCGCCCTATATCTTCTATTCCGATTATTGTGTCATTGTTTCATATTATCATTATATAGGAACAATTGTCAGTTATTATTAAGAATGTCGTTTCATTCTGCACTTCCTGCATCGGCATAGAGCCAGACGACGCATTTTGATTCACCTGTGAATCAAAATTCGCTCAATATCAAAAGAATTAAAGTGACGACTGCCCCCTTGTATCCATTTTATGAAAAACCCTTACATTTCATGAACAGATCAGCTGATATTAGGGATCATCTGAAAAAACGTCAACTCTCCATGAATAAAGATGTTGCGCGCTAATGAAGAATGCTAGTAAAAAATCTCGAAACCATTTCGGCGAATCACATGAATAATATAATATGCTTTAGACAAAGTTCCGAAAATGTTTTCAAATGAATGGTATCACATCGAAAATATTTATTTTTTGTAATGGGCCTATATGTTTCTTCCTGTAGATCTGGAAACAAAAAATTAATGGAAAGAGTTAGCGAACTATCTCATACTCAGACGATTTTTACAAGACATGGAACAAACCGTTTCAGAATCGCACCAGTGTTTATGATAATATTGTTTTCTACAAGCGTGCGTGATTCGCCCTATACCCAATTTAGTTTGGGAAAAGTCGTTTTCCCGCAACATTGCGGGAAAATTTTTCCCACACTAGTGCGGGAAAAACAAAGATATGATAATATGGCAAAATATAAGATGATAGGTTATGGAATATGATAGTTTGAGTTTGTTTGTTGCAGTATTAAGTATGTATGTTCAGAATCATCCATCAAATTGTGAAAATTAAGAAATATTGAAAAATAAAAATTGATTATTATAAAAATCCCCCTATAGATTTGGATTGATCTGATGGCAAACGATTATTGTTGTCATGCCAATCAAACCTCCAATGAGTTTGTAATTGTCGAAGTGACAGACACAGCATTACTGTCATTTTCGATTCAGTGGAATTACCACAATGTGATTAAAAACTTTCAGCTATAGAGATACGATACAGATGCGTTATTGCCAACGAAGTCTTAAGAAAGGTATGAGAAGCTATACACACGTTTTATTGACTGGTGCAACAATAATAAAATAATGAAATTATCGAATGAAGGAGATGTATTTTTGGCTCATTTGCTAGAAGTGTCTGAAACCTAGAGACCAAACACCTCATGGGCCTGCTGGCTTCCGCA